TTCTTAAATTCCGGTGGCGGAATAGCCATATGTTTTCACGGATTATTTGATTTAATTTTTATACAACGGGAGACCGGTTTCTAAAAATAAAAAAAATAGGTGTTTTTAATTTTCAAGATGTCCCCGCTTTAGGTCTTTTTTCAGAGCCTTTGAGAATTTAATGGGTCCCAAAATTTTGGTTGAGGGGGTAATAAGTGTCAATTTCCAACCAATCCACCTGGGTTTTTTGATGGAAATTAGACCACTGATGTTTTTTTGTTCAACGCCCAAATTCATAAGAATTTCAAACTTAGTTCCTTCAAAACAAATTTTTTTAAGAAAATATTTCATTAAATATGTTTTTTCCGATTATAGAAGCTTCCCAACCTTTAGAGAACGCAATGAAAGTCTCAGAATGTCCAATAATGAATTGCTGATGCGTGGTATGCAGAAATTGATAACATTAATTTATCCTGTGACGCCAACAGTATCTGAAGAATGTGCGAAATAGTCAGAATAACACAACGTTGGGGATTGGGACCTTTATAGATGCCCTTCTGAAGAGAAAAAGATCATTTCAAATGAAATTGAATATCTAGTTTTTGTTGATGGTAAAATGAAATTCAAACATTCTGGTACAAAGGATTTGATCACTAAAGGTAGCAAGCATGTCACAAATGTTTTATTACAATCTCAAAACGGTCAGAAATATTTATTGAATAATAAAATTGATAGAGTTGTACTAAAGAACAAAGTAATTAGCTTCATCACTTCCAAGAAGTAGCCGAAAGAGAAATACATTCGCAAGCATGTAAATGTTACACATGTATATACATATTCATGTCGATTCAACTGATACGATATGGAGTTGGATGGATTGGTTATAATTAGATAAACTTTAAGCATGTAAATAATTTAAATGACTGTACACGAAAATAGTTTTTGTTTGTCCTTATATATTTTTCATTATATATATATATTAATTATATTTTCAAAGTTCCATTAACATCATACGTTGATCTAGATCTTATATATGGATCTAGTTTTGCATAATTTGCTGCCAGCTGTGACCCAAGCTCGATTTTTTCTTTCAATATTTTTTCTGATAATTCCTTATTGGTTGGGTCGACCTCAATCCATTCAATGGTCTTGTTTATAAAGGAAGTAATCAATGCTTCACGTTCTTTTGAAATTGCATCACGAGTAGCTGTATCACTCAAAAGATCATCATGAGAATCATCTAATGGCTCATAATGATCTAAATCTTCTTCATTTTCACCACCTAAGTAACCTGGAACATGCTCAATATCTACGTATTTAACCAAGTCTTTTGTCTTACTTGTAAATATAACTTTTGAAGCTACCACGGGATCCAGCCACTTTTTAACAATACTCCAAATTGGGGAAAAATCCATGGAGCTCTATGAATGAATAGATGTCCCATTGATTCAGGATAATGTGCTTCAAAACAGGTGATTAAAAATTTTTACTGGCTGATAATCCATATTTGACATTGAAAATTCTGTTAAATCAAATAAGATTGTTGCAGTTTCTGCATCACCTTTTAAAAATAATTTCGCCTGTTCAATTATTAACAGGCAGTATTTTTCTGCTTCTTCAGCCGTCTGGTCATCTGGGTTGTGTAATCTCGGTCTTACCACGACGATTGGCCTGCCATCCTTGTCAAATCCACTGACAAAGGCTTTTTTTAGTTCCAGATTCTTCATAACACCTTCTTCTTTATTTTCAAATACAGACCTCTCTCCCGCATATAAGATGGCATCAACATCAAATCTATCCTTTCTCCAGTGTAACGATTCAGCTATCATCCCAATCGATTGGTCTGTATCCCATTTTCTTGCTCTAATATATCTTAATAATAAGTTATCTGGATTATCTGTCCTCAACATGCCCCAATAGGCATCCTGACTCTTTTTGGCATCCAATGATTCTAAAGATTCATGAATCATACCTTTATTGTACTTTGAAGCATTATCATCTGCATCAGCTTGGTTTGAATTCGATGAAGAGCGAAATCTTCCAAATCTTGATTTCTTTTTCTTAGGGCTGCCATCATTGTTAGCATTGCTGACACTTTTAAAGGCATTAGTACCATCGACTTCAATATCCCATGAATGGAATAGATATGTCCAAATTTGTTTTAGAACTTGTTCTTGAGATTCATCAAGAGTAGAAATGTGACCAGGTGAAGTTAAATCTTGTGACATATTGGTAAAATCTGTACAGAGATGGGCAGTTCCTCTTCTCTGATTATGTTAATATGATGTATATCGGTATATAATGAAAGAACCGATTAATATAGTTAGAATTTTGTAAAAAATTCTATTTTCTTAATCACAAACATAGCATGACAAAGAAATAGGTAATTTGGAAAATAAGTAATTACCAATATATATTATTCAATATTTAAGAACTACCCTCAATTTTGACCTTTAAATTTAGAGCTCACGAAGCTAACCCGTTAACTACTATTTAGCACAACAATTTATGAGGAAAGAATAGGCTTCATAGGAAAAAACATTTGACAGAAGGAGCCCCCGGTAAGCCGCAACAATAAATTAGATCAATAATAATATCGCCTATCAAATGAATTGTTCCCCCTATCCTTCTTTTACTTTCATACTTCCCATTAATCATACAAACCCGTTACGTAAAACTTGACGTTAATAAAATGTATCTACTTTATTCTGGAGGCGTATTCATTACTATTTAATTGGGCCCAACTAACAAACTACCCTTAGGTTTTATGTTTCTAACTACTACTATCATTGAAGTACCTTTTCACTAAAATCCGTCGAATACCTAAATACATAAATTGTACTAACTATAGTTAATATTTTCTGTCTTGCAGTTCCTTAATGTTTTTTTCCCTTTGGTAACTCTGCCAGTTTCAATAATCTATACAAGATGTTGTTCTTTCTCATTAGTAACTGCTTATCTCTCTTTTCTTCTCCTTCTCTCCTCTCCATACAATAAATTTAGTAATGTTAATTGAATGGATACTTTTTCAATTGATGTAAAATTTAACACAGCTTAAGGCCATTAAAAAAGAAACAAAAACTAGGCTTGACCGAAAAAACAATTGCTTGGACAGGATCTTTCTGCGCAATTTCCGTTAACCTATTCATAAAGATGTCAAAAAATGTATGTGCGAAACTGTCTTTTCTTTTGTGTAGAGTTTTTCCGACATTGGACGAATCTTCTGCGATAAAACGCTAGGAGTTCTTTTCAGAATTAGGTAAGAACTTGGTAGATGAGAATATCAATCAAGGATTTAGTCTATTCCATGGAACTGGAAGACAATGATGACAGAGAAAGAGATGGAATTGAATTCTTGATCGACTGATTAATTTGTTTAGATTATTATGTTTTATAACTTATCATAGACTAAAACTATGATGATTTTTCAGTTAAACTGAGTATTTTTTTAATTTTGGTTTTCATTTCAATACTTAAAACAAATCTATGCTTTTAAGGAAAGTTAAGTAAAATCTCAAATTGGGAAAGTGAGCCGAGCAGTGTAATTAATATAAACTGCTACTTCTTGGATTATCTTAGTAATCTACTTCTAGTTAGAAAAATCTAAAATTAGGGGCAACCGTGTTGGTAACCAATTGGAGTTTATAATTTTTCTTTTTTTTTGGTGCCTTAATTGATAAGAAGTAGCGGGGGCAGACAGGAATATGAGTTGAATACAATTAGAAGCAATGCAATGGGGAAAAATTTTGTAAGTTTTTGGCTTCTTTAACGAAGTTGAATAATATCTCATTGCTGTAAGTTTTGTATGGTTCGAAAAGGAGTATCTGGTTTTTTGAGTTAATAGGATTAATTCTAAACATCCCTGATATTTTGATACCGTCTTTTCGGTTCTCCTAGTATCTCCTTCTCCCTTGGAGACTTGGTGCTTGAGTCGTATATGCAGTTAAACCCCTTAAAAATATTTTTGTTTAATCATGGTAACTAATTGTTATTAAAAAAGAATAAGACAAAGATGTTTGATATGTGACCTTAGTAATCTTTACTTTTGCTTATATAAATAATGAAGTTTATGGGATGAAAAATTATATTTTGTTCGATATGAATAGTTTTGAAACTAAAAGTAAAAATAAAGCTTAGGTGAAAGTTTAAAGTGAACTTTCAACAATAAAATAAAAATATGAAAATGAATAACTTATTTTTTTTTAGTAGAAATACACTAAATCATGCATTATAAAATATGTAAAATAGCTTTTGAAACTAATTAGGTTATATATATTACTGATAAATTAATTTGATCATCACTTGAAAATAACATACAAAAAGAAAAATAACTTTATTTAAAAGTTAAGTTCTCTTACATAATAATAGCTTCCTTTGGAACGTTAGAAGCAATGGACTTGTGTGGCAAGACCTTACCACCGTTAATGTAAACTTCGTCTTTAACTTCAACATCGTCACCCATAACGGTAACACCTTCCAAACGACACCATCTACCAACAGTTGAGTTCCAGCCAACAATGGTAGACTTAACCAAAGAGTGGTCCTTGATAGTAGAGTTAGATAAGACAACGGATCTAGCAATTCTAGCACCGTCACCAATAACAACGTTTGGACCAATAACGACATCTGGACCGATTTTAGCGGATGGAGAAATCTTAGCGGTTGGGTCAACGATGACGTTACCGACAATGTTGTCACCCTTAGCCAATTTTTCTGGGTTTCTCTTAGCCAAAGAGGTCAAATACAGACCGGTACCAGCCAAGAAATCCTTTGGTTGACCGACATCCATCCAGAAACCTTCTAAGTCAAAAGAGTATAGAGATTTTTGTTCAACCAAAATTGGGAAAGTTTCCTTTTCAATAGAAGTTGGTTTCAAGTCAATCAAATCGATGACTTCTGGGTTCAAAATATATAAACCAGCGTTAATTCTGTTACCAACGAATTCAACTGGCTTTTCGACGAATCTGTCAATTAAGTTTGGAGTAGAGATATCGTGAACAATAACACCGTATTTAGATGGTTCATCGACTTTAGTAGCGACGATAGTACCTTTACCACCGTGAGCCTTGTGGAAGTCAGCCAATTCCTTGAATGGGTATTCACAGATGACATCGGAGTTCAATACGAAGAAAGGAGAGTTATCCTTCTTTAAGACTTCTTCAGCCAACTTCAATGGACCAGCGGTACCTAATGGTTCAGTTTCAACAGAGAAAGTAATGTTGACACCGTATTCTTTTTCGTACTTTTTCAAAGTTTCAACCATAACTTCTGGTCTGTAGTTAACAGCTAAAACGATATCAGTGACACCGGCATTAGCTAAAGCTTCGATTTGATGTAAAATCATTGGTCTGTTAGCAAATTCGACCAATGGCTTTGGAACAGTCAAAGTCAATGGTCTTAATCTGGTACCGTAACCACCTACTAAAATTAAACCTTTCATTTTGAGTATATTATATGTGTACGGGGAAAAGAGAGAAGATGTGGGATGTTAGTGATAGTGACAAAGGATGTCAATTAAGCTATATAGGTCTGTTGATTAAAGAAATCAAAGTCAGAGAGCTGAGTCTAAAATGAACCAAAGTAAAATTTACAAATAAGAACTACAATAGGAATTAAAGTAGAATAATTAAATAGGCAAACAAACAAGAAATAGAACATAAATCAAAACTTGAAAACAAATAATAATTATATCTTCATTGATGCAATATATATATATATGGATTAAGATATATTGAAATTTGAATATAAATTTAGAATATTTTTTTGATGGAATGAACAGCCTGTAAGTATAAGTTACGAACGAAAATTTTTTAAAAGAGTGAAAGGTTAAGAGAAGGAGAACCAACTGAAAAAAAAAAAAAAATAAAATCAAAAAAAAAAAAGAACGACGCGTCTCGAAACTTGTAATAAAATCGAGCTAAATGGATTTGTCTTATTGCATTACTACAATACATTTTTCCTACAGCTAATACTTTTCAAACTGAACAAGACTTCGAGTAAAAAAGAAAGAACTCTAGACAGAGGGAACCAGAAAAAAAAAACATTAGTCGTAGCTTAACTAGAGGAATACTATTTCGACGAAAGCAGCAACGAAACGACTATTGAAGAGGGAAAAACAGTACAAGTAAGGAAATTTAAAAAGAAATAAAACAAGTAATATTTTCTTGTATCTGCAAGGTCAAGAATTGTGAAATAAGAAATGGCAAAGAGAGACTATTGACTAACATATTGCGGTATGAGCCGTGTGTCTTGCGCATTAATCAATGTATCGAGAGGTTTTGCTAAACCAGGCCTAAAAGAAAAAAAAAACACTTGAATTGAATATAGATAGCAATGATAAAATCAAACAAGATGAAAAAATAGTGGTAGTTCTTGTAGGAATTTCTCTGCTATTTTTTTTTTCATTTCTTTCTTATGTTCTTGTTCTTGTTCAGAAGAATATCTGATAAACATTGTTCTTCACGAGATCATGGGATAATTCTAATTACGTATCTCCTCTAGGGATCGAGTCTTGTATTGGGGACTAAGAGTGGTTTACTCTGATGTTAAACTTCCATTAAATCAGACTGAAAAAAGTTGGAAGAAAAGACTAGTATTTCACTGCACACCTACGTATTTGATCAATCTACCACTACAACTACTACTTCGACTTGTTAAGTTTAAAAAAGAAAACTGAGAAAAGTAACTGCTTTTTTTTTTCCCTCTGGACAACTACTTCATTTAAGCAGAATTTTGAGACAAGATGCCTGTTGTTGTACTAGAAGGTGGTCTGGTGGATGGTGCTCAAAGAAGGTAGTAGGAGATCTAGCGTGTGAAAAATTATAATTAGCGTTAAATTGGTTTTATTTTTTTGTATTTTTTGTATTTCTATGCTTATTTTCATTTTAGTTAAGCCTAAGGCTCTCATCTGAAATTTATCTTGTCTAGCTTTATATGGGGATAACTCTGGTGTGTGCTTATAGTTCATCTCAGTCGATGATGCTATAGGTTTTTATGATAGAGTAATCGAATATTCGAAAGTATGTGAAACACGTCGCGAATATATTGTTAAGGTTTTAATTTTTTTTAATACACAACTTTCAATTGTAAGAGCTTAAAAATAATACCAGATACACGTAAGGCACATTTTTTTTAATTAAATCCAGTTAATGGAGGGGCAGAATGCACCATGGATGTCAAGATATGCTCAATAATGTTCGCGTATTAGATTTATTTAGCTGCAATTATTATATGGTGATTGTTAGCTAACTAATATGCATGCATACACCGATAGATCATTTTACGTGTCTTTTTTTAATGAAGAGAACGCGAAATTGAAAATAGCTAAGAACCTCAAAGAACTTGTGCAAGAATAGCGACAAATCTCATATATCTTTATTAAGAGACAACTTGGTAACCTTTGTTACAATACTTAGTTTTGTTTAAATTCCAATTTGTGTTGAATTCATAAAAAGAACTAGGACAAAAGTAGTTCACAAAGGAAAAGACACATTCACAGGATTTAACCGCATAAACCTAAACTTTCACTTCTCTGTTAAGTTTTCCAAATAATTCAGAGGATTTATGGTTTGCTGCAACGTTGAGATTTGTCTTCGATCCCCTCTCTTCAATGAAATAAAGCAAGACAAATTTGAACATCTCAGACATGTTAACTGCAATAGTTGTCTAATCTTCAAGATCTGAAAATCGATACCCAATTAGGAGTTTCTGAGATGAAGAATTATTCACCTTACTAAAACTCAAATTTCTCTTTTAAAATTTAGAGAGCAAAGCGTTTATTACTGCTACTTCTTGGTTATTCTAAAATCAATCCAAATTGTTGTAAGTTTTCATCGAATTAGGAAATAATAATCTTCCTATATGGTTTTGATTAGTTCAGATCTGATGTATTTCTCTGTTTAAAGGTAGATCAGAATCTATAGGTAAAAATTAGACATCATTTCAGCATGATAATTTTGAATATTTACTTGATATTCTGCTGGTAGAAACGCTGTTGATACGTATTTACAAATCTCCCCGGTAACAATTGTTTTGCTGCTGAATTTACTTCAAACGTGAAGCCATACTGGCGTACCTTATATAACGAGATTAATTCAGATAGAGCGAAAATTTATAGCATGCAATAGATATACTGAAAGAAATGATATCAGCAGATCTGTTTAACGATGGTTGACGCGTCATTGCGGAAGATCATGAGGTTGACGTTAAAAAATAGTTTGAAGATGATAACACGCTTTTCTTTAGAAGAATTGAAGTTGTGCTGTTGGGTTAAGAACCCTATACTGACAACCCCTCCAGTACTAAGTACTACTTGCAGATTTCAAAAACTTGAAATAGAGGTATCTTGGTGAAGAACATTTTCGAAAATTATTGTGATCAGACAGTAGTATTAGCAATAGTATTGTAGTTTACAAAATTGAAAAGCAAAATAGTCCATTTGAAACGAAGCATTTCGACATTGATGAGAAGATTATTTCATATCGTCATTTTATTTTTACCGAATCTATTTAGAACCACTTGAATTAGAATTTTTTCTTGTCAATCTTGACTAAACTGAAATACTTTACGATGAAACTTGGTCTGCTTTAAAAAGACTATTTCATTACTGTGTTAAACACCACTCGATATACATTTAACTCTTTATTCGCATTCGTCCCCCCACATAAAGAGACATCAAACTTTTTCAAAATTGGATCAGATCTCATAACAGAGCATCAAAAAATTAAAGTGAAAAGGTTTCTTAATCCAACAATAGCCAATTGATGAAATCGAATTCAATAGAGCAGATGACTATAAATACAATTATATTTTGAATCTAGATTTTTCATTAACGCAATGGAAGCGATTACTAATTTCATTAAGCCGAACTTTAAATACAAGGTATTATATATATATATATATATATATATATATCAATTGCTAATATCACTCAGTAATCAACGAATTAATTTTTCACTCTACGATAAAAATCAATTACTTTACTGAATAGTTATGTATATGTAATATTCTTAGGTATCCTTTTCAATAGCTGTCGCTATCAATAATCTCTCTGTCTCTTTGTCTCTCAGTTGTCAAAAATAGAATACTTGCCTGGCCAATACCGAAAACCAAACCAAGCTAAACAAGCTAAACCAAATCTAGTCGTCAATAGAATAGAAGTGCTCTCTCACCTTAGTAATGTCTCTCCCATTCAATGGTAGTTACCCTCCTTCACGTTCCAATCAATTCAATTCAGTCCATAATATACACATACAATATTTGCAGCTGAGGGAAAAACATACCCGAATCTCGGCGTTTCGGAGTTGTCATTTCAGTTCATTTTCTTTATTCGTCCTTGTTCCAGACTATTTCCCCGGCTGACAGATACATCATTGCGGACGGAATAAGAAGCAACTAGGAAACCAAAAAAAAAAGAGTTCAAGAGCGAACTTGTGGTAGGCCGAAAACCCAAAAACTATATGTCCTTCTCTGGCATTTCCACTGGGATTGTTTATTTTTTTTTTCTCTCCTTTCTTGTTTTAGACACATTTTTTTAATTGAGAGTAACCGGAGTTAAACCCACCCACGTTAATCTCTTCCCGTCCCCACCAGCACAGCACCACCACCAGTTTAACTCTTTTTAATAGTAATCAAAATGAATCAAATCATGTTCTACTACACCCTTCTCCTATCCAACCACTGCACAAACTACACACATACACATACACATACACATACACATACACATACACATACACATACACATACACATACATTTACATTTACTATCCCATATTCTAAGTATACACCCTCCCGTTGTGCCAATGCATTTTTGTTCAATAAAAGTGTGAATTTTAGACGTTCAAACGTTGAAGTTTTGGAAACTAAGCTCATCACCCATCCTATTCTAATTCATGGCAGCAAACATATATCCAAGCTTCCATCACAATAATTGACGGTTCTTGAATTAAGATATCTACAAAAAAAAGCACGACATCTGGTTTTAAACATATTGTCTATTTAAATTCAATCCTAGAGGTTATTGTCACTCGTATTAATCTATATATACAATTACAATTACAATTATCGGAATAAGATAGTAAATTCAAATTTCTTGATTGTATCACATTGCAATAGCAACATCTTTTCATCTCGCTTTTTCTTATCTTTGTCGTTGTCCTTGTCGTCGTCATTGTCGTTGTGGTTCAACTCAATTCAACTCAATCATAATACTATCCCGTCTGAATCATCAATTTGTCCTCTATTTAATCTTTGCTATGGTCAATTTCTTCAGTATCTATTACGAAGTAGACAGAAGAAGGAAAAAAAAAATAAGTCTTTTTTTTTGCCTTCTGCTTTTTTATTTTTTTTTCTTGATTTGATTTAATTCTAGAATTACTTTTAAACTTTAATAACAATGCATGCACCCAACAGATTTTTGGATTGTATCGTTACAATTACTATTCACTACTAGTTGCTTATATTTCTTATCGTTTAAGTACCACTATTGTGTTATTGATATTAACTATATACTATCCCTCGTTTCGAATTCTGTTTTTTTTTGTTCTTTATATATAATATAGTTTTATTGAAATTTTCTAATAAAGCTCATCTCAATATCTTTAGAGTATTTATATATACAAAGTTATCACTTAGCTCTTCCTGCTTTTGATTATACTGTTACACTACAAAACTCTTACATTATAGATCATATATAATCGTTTATATATATATTCAAAGAGAAAGATAGAGAGAGAGTGTGTGTGTTTCTAAGTCCCTGACAACTATTCAATTACAAGAATCAAATTTAGAGGTAGTTCTATATATGGACATTGATTGATTGTTTGATTTATTGATTGATTTATTGAAACATTCCGTTTATTACCATTATTATATATTATTATCATTTTCAATACTGTCGTCGTGGTTGTCAATACACGTCTATCAATTCGAATAAACTTCAGCTCTGAACTATGTCGCAAGTTTTCGGTAATACTACCCTTTCCAATTTAATAAGAGACACTACCTATTCTGCAACTTTACAAAATGTTAAAGAATTTCAACCTCAATTGGGTTTCATGGAAACTCATTGGGCTGCCTACTATTTATTCATGAATAATGATAAATTGGCTACTGGGTTGATGTTTTTTTTACTACATGAATTCATGTATTTCTTCAGATGTTTGCCTTGGTTCATTATAGATCAGATTCCTTATTTTAGAAGATGGAAAATTCAACCAACAAAAATACCTTCTGTCAAAGAACAATGGCATTGCTTCAAATCTGTTCTATTATCCCATTTCTTAGTAGAAGCCATCCCAATCTGGACTTTCCACCCAATGTGTGAAAAATTAGGTATTTCCGTACAAGTTCCATTTCCTTCTATCTCAAGACAAACTTTTGAAATCTGCTTATTCTTTGTATTAGAAGATATGTGGCATTACTGGGCTCACCGTTTATTCCATTACGGTGTCTTTTACAAGTACATTCACAAACAACACCATAGATACGCTGCTCCATTCGGTTTGGCCGCTGAATATGCTCACCCAATGGAAACAATGACTTTGGGTTTCGGTACCGTTGGTATGCCAATTCTATATGTCATGTATACTGGGAACTTACATCTATTCACATTATGTCTTTGGATCACTTTAAGATTATTCCAAGCCGTTGATGCTCATTCAGGTTATCATTTCCCATGGTCTTTGTGCAATTTTATGCCGTTCTGGGCAGGCGCCGAACATCATGACTTACATCACCATTTTTTTATTGGTAACTATGCTTCCTCTTTCAGATGGTGGGATTTCTGTTTGGACACTGAAGCTGGCCCAGACGCAAAATTATCAAGAGAAGAAAAAATGAAGAGTGTTGCGGCTAAAAATATCAAAAAGAAGAATTAGAATTAGAATTACAAGAGCATATCCTGGTACACGCTTTTCATCAAAGCTCAACATCGTATCTTTTTCCAATTATTGCTGAATATGATAAACGTCATTTTACACCATTCCTTTCAGTATCCTCATTTTAATATTCTTTCGTTATCTACTAAATATTTTATATAACACATCTGTAAGTGTTAATTAATTTATACATATGAATTTGTAATAAAAAGTAAACTTTATTATATTTTTTAATCAATATGTGGGTTTATATCTTTTTTTCTTAACATTTTCCCTCAAAGAAAAGAACAAAACTTTAAAAAAGATATCAAACAAGACTAATTACTATTAAACATTCCTCTCTATGCTAAATTATGTAATTAATCATTTTGAAATGTTTTAGAAACTACAGAATCTAGGTAAATCTTTTCTGACCAAGATTAATTCGTTCTTTTATATCTCTAATTTATATAGAAACAATATCATTACGAAAAAGAATGATATATTAAAATCAAGATGTAATTTTAGAGTTTCGCATTAACAATTAATCTAAAATAATATATCTCAGAAAAGCAGATAGAATATATACTTTGCTAATTATTAACTAAGTCACCCTCGCCTTTATATTTACACCTATAGATCCTACTGGATTCCGAAGAATCATTGCCTATGCAGAGTATCAAAACAGTTCAATGAATATAGGAACAACTAAAAAGATCTTGAAGTTGATTATCGCCTTGAACATCAAGGCTTGTTCTTCAATTAATATTTATAGTATTTGTAAGTGTGAAGTTTTCCTTTTTCTTCTTAAAATGAAATGCAAAGTACATAAAATAAATCAATATTGAACATGTAAATTCTTCTTCTACCTATTTCATCGATTCTTTTAGGAAGTTTCACTTCTTTTGGATTAATGTTGATCAATATCCAACTATCATGTCTGTAGTATTGGGAATCAGATAATCGCCGCGAATACCAATACTCTTTGAAACAAGTAATGCCTCATATATACACGAACCTATATAATACTGAGGTTTACTAATAACAATCATTGCTTCCAATCATAATTTTTCAACAAATGAAACCCTTAAATTAGAAGTTTAGAATAGACTTAATTATTTGCCAATTGACACACACTCCGACGTTACGTATATATTTTTGTCAGAATGGTATAAGCTGTAAGCTTCAATGTAAGTAGATATACGTTAAATAGGTACGTTGACCTATTACTGAGGTCAGTGAGTGGTAACTCGCTCGTCCTCCTGTAACAGAGTAGTCTATATAACATAAATAGTTTTATATATCGGAACTGAAAATTTGTTCCTTTTATATATTAGAGAAATCGATACATTGACCTTGTACGAAAAACAGCAATAGTGACATAAACTTTATCCTAGAGTGTCCAGGTTAAAGTCACAACAATTTTAACATTGAACTCATAATAATTGGGTTTTATTCAAAATATATCAATATATCAATTTTAATGAATTATGGGATAATGGCATTTGCTATTTTGAGAGGATAGAGGAGATAATGATACTGCAATTAAGGATGTAGAAAAATTGTATTGTTTTGTCCGGAATATATGTATTAGAAATAATGTTCAATAGGCCAACGACGTATTGTAACTATATAACTATTATCTATATTAATCTTATTATTAAGTTTATATAATAATACTTAGTTGTTTATATTAAATAATGATATGATGATATGATCTTTTGTTTTGGTAGCAAATAGTTATGGCAATGCGACAGTGTCGCTTTATATACTAATTGGGGTGTCATCTGTAGATAAAGAAATACTTTATACCCCAATATTTCGTATAGAATTATTCGTAAATCAATACATTGTATTGTTTGATCCGGAATATTAGAATAGGGTATTAAGTATTTGTCTAGGGAACCAAGCCGTAGAAGTCAATACTTCAGATTATTAGTTATAAGCTCTATGAGGTTAATTAACTATTATAATTGTAGAGAATCAGAGGGTTGTGGATTCTTTACAGAATCATTAATAGTAGTTGATTGTTTAGTTGTTTGCAAGGACATTTTTAATTAGATGATATTGATCCGGTGTATTAAAGTATAAAATATACACATGGGAATATAGTACATATGATAAGTGTCAATTAAGATCTTATCAGTCTTTATATACAATGTTTAGATATTATTCACACGTCAGAAGTAAATGCTTTCGTATTAGAAACATTTCTTTATCCCTTATTAATAATGATGTTTCATATAATTCTTCACCCTTATTAATATTGAATTAATGAGTATGACTTTACGTCATCTCATAATTTCTGACACACCTCCTTAAAGACATGTTTTTACGATCTTTTTAACTGATCATCAACATCTTCTCTTTGTCCTTGAATTTTGATTCTTCTAGTTCAGTTATATGAAGAATGTCTTCAGGATTTAATTTATTCTCTAAACATTCAATTATTTTCTTAAATTGAATCGTTGTCACCGGTTTGGTTAAAATGTCAGCAACGTTAGTTACACCAGGTATCTTTTCTATAGCAATAATATTCTCTCGAACTTGTTCTGATAACTTTGCTAGTTTTAGATCTATAAACTTATCTCTTTTCTTGGATCTGTAATCTTTGTTTAAAAATTGTATACTAGGCTTGGAATCAGTAAATATATTAATGTCAATGTTATTTAATATTTTTAGTTTCTCTAAAACTTTCTTCAATAATTTACCTTCCTTGAATCCTTCATAAATGGCATCAAGTTCAGCTTCTGTAGATGATACTCTAATTGAAGTTGTTGCTCTTGATATGACTTTGTATAGATTTCTGCCATACCAAACCATTATACCAATTCTCGATTTATAGTCCCATTCTGTACCTAATGATGCGTCAGTTACTATATTTATCTTTGGTTTACTTCCGGTTTCCCTTCTGTAAATTAATTTACGATCTTTTGTGGTGAAAAGATATTTTAAAATTTTGTGAGCTATTTTGATTGATTGCTCATTTGGTGTGTTCACTGATCTTGCCAACTTGTTTGCCGCGAACGCGATATCATAACGACATCTTGTTAAGATATAATTGATTATACCTGCCATTATTTGGAGGTTTTTAGTTATCTCTTTTTTTCTTATTTCAGAAAGGATTGGAATTCCTTTGGTTTTCTTATCATAGCTTGACCAATGAGGAGAGTTGTCAAATTTTATGTAATTTATCTCATCAATCCAATCATTCTCTATGCTTTTTAAGTATGTTTCCAATGATAAGGATATTTCTCCTTTCGTTATGTCGTAGTCTAAGTCCATTCCTAAAATATCAGTTTTTAGGATGCCTTTTTCCATTGTGCCGACTATTTTCAATTCAAAAGTTTCTTTCATTTTGTTAATAAACTTTTTTAGTATTATGTTGTTTTTAGCAGCTATAATACAGTCGTCGACATAAACAGCTATGATAATGGATTTTTCGTTATTCATGAATAACCCAGGCGTGTATTCAGTGTCATAGAGTGAGCAATTATTTAGATATTTTCTTAAATGATCATTCCACTCTTTTGGACTTTGTTTTAGACCATATAGGGCCTTATTCAGCTGAACCACCTTCCTCGGCTCATACGGATGTGGTATATATATCACCTCCTGTAGATCAGCATACAGAAATGCATGATTTATATCTAAGGTTTGTACCACCATTCGGTTATTGTTAGCTATCATCAACAGTAATTTCAATGTGTCCATTTGTAAAAGGTCAGTTGTGATTACACCATATGTTGATGCGGTCTGTTTATCACCGCGACATACTATTCTAGCCTTATGTGTTCCATCCCGCTTAACATTAAAAATGGTTTGAACTGGGATGATTTGTTCTTTAGGAACCTGATTTCGAGGAATGCCCATCTGGATATCAAACACCAGCATACGTTTTAAATTATCAAGTTCCTTTTGATAAGCCTCTTGAAATAATTTTCTTGTTTTCATATTGGTATTGTTCGTGATGGCCTCGTTGTAATACATGGAACGAATAGTATGAACCACTGGAACCTCATATTGTAAGGGACGGTTTTTCTTCATTTCATCAAAATCATGGGCTCGCAGTGCCTGTTTGTAAAGAGCAGATTTACGTTTAGTGGAAGGTTTTTGAATGGAATAAAATTTCTTATTGAGCAAGTTGTTAATTCGCTGTTGTAAATGAGAAGAATGTTCTTCATCAGTGGATTCAGTATTGTCTACTGGTGGTTGAAATAATATTTGTCCATTGTTACTTTCTTGTTTATCCGTTTCTGGAACCTGCCCTGTCATGAGTTGATGTTCATTGCCAGTCACTTGGAAGGTTGATACTTCTTCCTGCTGAGGTTCGTCCTCAGGAATTTCACGTGAAGGTACGGATTCATTCGTAACTTCGTCTTCAGATGTGTCTTGTGGAGTGATTACTTCGTCTTGAGGTTCGTCCTCAGATATTTCTTGTGGAGTTATTAATTCATACGAAGGTTCAGCCTCAGATATTTCTTCTGAAGATACTGATTCAGATTGAATTTCGTCCTCAGGAATTTCTTGTGAAGATACTGATTCAACTGTAGAATCTTCCTCTTCCTCTTCAGATTCATAAAATTTTTCCGATAGTGGTTTAATATGAGGAGTTGCAGATAGTTTCGATTTCGTTCTGTCTGTAATAGTAGTCTCATCAAGATGAACTTCCTTAATCTTGTCTACTCGGTTTTCTCTTAGTTGAGATGGTACCTCATAGACTTCGTCGAGTATCTTTTCTAATTCTACCTCTTGTTGACCACTTTCGTTATTTTCATGTGTAAACTCCACCTCCTGTGACGAATGTTCATCTTCTTCAGTTTCATCTGTTCCTGATAGGTCGGTGGATAGGTCAGTGTTGTTAACGTCACTGTCAATAGTTATGTTGTAATCACGTTCATCGCTGAGTGATTCCATATCTATGTCGTCATCATGAACGGCAATGTCGTGTTCATTATGTTGATGGTTAGTTTGAGCTTTCAATAAGCTGAAACTACTCGTTGTTACTATCTTTCTCGTCTCCGGAAGATAGAAGTAATAGCCTCGAGACTCTGGATCTTTGCATAGTGCTAGGGCTTCCAGTCCTTGTAGTCCCGTCTTAATCTTTTTGTGATCCTTTACAAAAGCTTTTTGTCCAAATGGTATTAAGGACTTATATAGCAAAGGTTCGCTGTTACCAGAAATCATGTTGAATGGGGTTTGCCCAGTCATTTTGTTCAAAGAGGTATTTCTGGAATCTGTTGCCGCCATAGCAGCGTACTTCCATAGTTTCCAAGGAAGTTGACTTTGAATCATTAAAGTTCTCAAGTCTGCATTTAGTACACCAATATATCTTTCGACTCGACCATTGGATGCATGGTCGTCGGTGTCGGTTAGGATCCATTTAATTCCTCTACCGTCAATAAATTCTTTGAGAACCGAGTTGTTAAATTCGGTACCTCTGTCTGTTATCAGTTCTTTAACCTTTCGATCGAACTGATTTTCTATTAGATGAATGTTCTTGATGATTTGTCGAGGTATCGATTGTGATGATTTATCCAAATGTGTACTAATCATCATATAGCGTGATACATTATCAACCATCACTAATAGGTAGTGAGGAACGTTCTTGTGAGAACGTACAATTGGACCACGAAGGTCAATACTCCATGATGCACCTGGTAGAACATTCACATAGTGAGCATTCATGGAACCTGTGTAATGATTATGGGTTTTCAATTTTCCTCTTAAACAGTCTTCGCATTGATATTGAGCAATTTCAGTGCTAGTTTCTTTTAGACCGTCTACATCTGCAAAAATACCTGATTCAATGGTAGCCTTAACTACATTCTTATCAATATGATTGAATTTTGCATGTGCTTCTTGAATGGAAACTTTCTTCTTCGTTTTGTTTGTTACAACTCGGACTGTTTTATTACTGGTTGTTTTATTTTTAATTTCATTTTTCACCAAAAGGTTATTTGAATTGATCCAAAGGGTTTTATCCACTTTGGAGACCTTAATTCTTAAAATGTTGTTAGTCAGGAATTTATAACCTCTTTCGAGCTCATAACCAGTGTCTTCCTGTAATGTTGCGATCGATAATACAGTTGCACTCTCGTACGGACAAAAATAGACTTTCGTCTTTATAGTTTTATTACTGTTATCAATCTTTATTTGAAGAAATCCTTCACCCTTAATTGTAATAGGATGATTTTCCATACCACATAGTTTTGGTGGATTCTTCGAATGTTTAAAGTCCATAATAAGTGATTTATCATGAGTAATATTTACAGGCGATGCTGAATCTAATATTACATCAAGATACTTATTTTTTGGTTTTAACTGATGTTGTGGTTGTCTTAGGTTTCGAATTGTTTTTGAATTGCCTAAGATTATTAGAGGTTTTTGAGGTAGTAGAAGGTTTCCCTTCTTTATTGTTTTTTCTGCCTCTTAAGATATCTTCCTTCTTCATATCACTAATCGTTTCTTCGATATGTCCAAGAACAGACAAAGCATCAATATTATAAGGATTTCCATGTTCTAATTGAATTAGATCAAGGATTTTCTGTCAGTATATTGACGTAATTCAGATATTGTATACTTATTTATAGTACCAAAGTGTTTATCCAATTTGATTAGTATAGAAGCATCTGAAAGTTGTTGNTCCAGATCAGAAGAATTCTTGTTTAATGCAATATCCTTCCACAAGGTTTCTCTAAACTCCATTGTGAAAGTTTCTTGATATTTCTTTTCAATCTTATTCAATAAGATTATTGCTGAATTGGCTGTTTCTAAAAACATTGCCAATTTTGGATCTTGAATATTACTTCTTAGTATGTTCATAAGAACATGATCCTCAGCAGTTGATATAACTGTCTCATTTGACAAATATGTTATATCATCGAAGTTATGTGCTTCAAGAAATTTCTTAAATTCTTCAAGCCATCTTGGGTAATTTTTAATACCCTTTAACTTCCAATCAAATGGGTAAGCATCATTATGCGCATTGTATGATACTTCTTCACCATTATTATTTACCAGCTTAAAACCAATTTGTTTATTGTTTTTAGAGGATGGTTTCATTGTGACTGAATTATTAGATTCAGCCAAATCCTCAATGTTTGACAATTCATTGAGAACTTTTATGGATGTTCTCAGATCTGAGATTTCATCCTGAATAGCTTGTCTCTTCTCGATAATTTCTTTGCTTCGAGGTGACAATAGCAATTTTGTAAATTCATCTTCAAGTTCTTTAATTTTCTTGAATACTAATTCACTGTTACTGTTTCCAGTAAATTTGGGTATCAAATCTTCTTTGAATGAAGTCCTGGCGGGGAAGCCATGTAGAGAATTATGTTGTGGTTTTTCTACCGAATCGTTCATAGTAATAGATTCTTTATTTATTTCCAAGGACATTCTTAATAAGTTGATATTGATCCGGTGTATTAAAGTATAAAATATACACATGGGAATATAGTACATATGATAAGTGTCAATTAAGATCTTATCAGTCTTTATATACAATGTTTAGATATTATTCACACGTCAGAAGTAAATACTTTCGTATTAGAAACATTTCTTTATCCCTTATTAATAATGATGTTTCATATAATTCTTCACCCTTATTAATATTGAATTAATGAGTATGACTTTACGTCATCTCATAATTTCTGACAATATACAATTAAATAATAATTAAAGGCCAAATAATACAAAAACAATACAAAAAATATATATCTTAACATTTTAGGCAAACACGGCTTTTTTGAAAACAACAATTAAAGAGGTCCCTTGGCCCAGTTGGTTAAGGCGTGGTGCTAATAACGCCAAGATCAGCGGTTCGATCCCGCTAGGGACCATTCTTTTTGGTTTTTTTTGCATCATAAAGTATCTTATCATAATTCAAGAGATCATTATAAATGAAGGGACTATTTTACTCCGAGCTTCAGTATTATTGTTTATATCTTCAAGATCATCTTTGATAAATATATCATTTAACAACTCTACATAATTACTCGAAATAATATATAAAAAATCGAAATATTTGAATCATGTCCTATTAAATTTCAATGTCAATATGGAATACCATTTGTTAATCTTTGGAATTCATCATAACCTTTGGTAAACAAACTTTCATAACTCTTTCTGATCAAATTCTTCATATACATAGCCGCTTCGTGTTCAGTTTTTTGAGGTTGAAATCTATTTCTCAAATTTCTAATCGTTTTAACGCCTTTGAAACATGGCAATCCACTCCCTAGCATTGGCTTAACACATTCAATAATAGCATCCATGTGAGGTCTAGCTGCTAAATATGCCTTGATACATAATTCTTCAAAATCACGATATGCCTGTGTCTCTTGGGAACCGCCCATTACATTTACCATTTCTTTAGTTAATTTAAATGGTACTGCCTCAAATTTTACACCACCAGGTACAATGTCAAATATAAAACCAAAATCAATATGTAAACAGTGACCTTGATCATCATACATAATGTTACCATTGTGTCTGTCTTTAAATTGCAATAAATATGATATAACACTGTAGCCTGCTAAAGATTTGACAAAATTATTTCTAGCATTTTGAAACTCGAACGATGTCTCATTGCCAAATTTGCTAATGAAATATTCATACAAACCGTTAACAGCTTCTCGACCTAACATATCACGAGATATGGAATTAGGTAAAACATCGATAACACCACAACCTGGAGCGGTTGCAGTAACTCTGTATGGGAATACATAAACATCTAAACCAATATTAGACCAAATAGTTCTGAACATCGAGATTAATTGTAAGGCCAAAACATCTTGTCTACAGTCATCACCCACTTTAAAAATTGCAGCTTGCCATTTTTCTACTGTCTGCAATCCTCCATTATCACCTTCAACATCTTTCTTGATCTTAAACGTTGCCATGAATGGAGCCTTTGCATGAGATTGCAATGGTTTACCACTTTTTCTGTTTATATCGATAACTATACCATCCGGGTTTGAAGGTAAATATACACCTGGTTCGACAACAATTTTAGCCATCTCTTCATCGATTTTTTGTTTCTTTTCAGCTTTACTTTTCTTGATATATGGTTTTAATTTACCAGAGATACCAGTAACTTCATTAAAGAACTTAAATTCTCTATGGTAAAATTCACTGTGTGATTTATTGAAAGTAGCAACTAATTTTTCACGAACACGATCTAATGTTGGTTTTATCTCATCTTCTATTAACCCTTCATCACCTTTATAACAGTTTGCTAGCATATTCCAAATAATTTGGTGTGAAAATAGAACACTGTTCATTGCAGTATCTAATATTAGTCTTTCCACATACCCGGTATGGTCATAACGCAAACATTGAACAATTTGAGGAACATAGAAAAAGATCACATTTACATCATGAAATTCCAGAGAATGAACTGCATATTGCAAAATAAATCTATCTTGGTTATGTTCTGGCAAAAATAAATCGATTGACTTCAATGGGGTAGTCGGACACCAATAAGTCACATAATGTAGATCAGCTTTGCTATTACGCATTCTGTCTTCTAAATATGGGCCAAGTGCATCTGGTATACCGACAAATTTCAGTGGATCGTTTGATATCAACATAGTTAATTCGTTCAAATTTTTCTCTTTTGACAAGGATTGAGCAATATTGATTGCAATTGAGGGGTTAATAGCCATGGCTGCCTTTATCATATCCATAGAAATAGACCCAATATTACTTTCGATTTTATTTAACGGTGACAACCAAGTCTTCATTCTAAATATTTCATCTTGTAATGCAATTTGTAATAATTGATATTCTAATTTGCAGTAATATGTCAATATCCCAGAGGCTTTATCCAAGCGGTTAGATAGATCAATTGCCACAGCCAAATCAGCCTTGTTTCTTAATTCATTCGCACCAAAAGGCCACGAGATAGGGCTTTTGTACCAACTCAAACCACACTTTACAATAACATTACATAACTTACCAACTGCTTTACTATTCTGTTTATAATTAACACCCAGAACTTCAACTGCAAAAACCAAAAGTTCATTACGTATCAATCTAGAAAACGGGTGTAATGAAGCATTACACAATTTATCGACGGAATGATAAACCCAATTTGTGAATAATTTCAATAATGAATCACTTTGAAATAGAGTACCTTCAAAATGAGAAGAAAAAAATGAAACCAAGATACGGTGTGGTTCTAGGGCATCAGTAGTTAATTTTGCATTCCTATTTATAGCCTTTTTGTTATATGGCTTGTATTCCATCATTTGGCATTCTGCTCTTGTAATATCGTATTTATGAGAATACAAACCAATTGAATCATCGATAGAACGCATCCATCTGTAACCAACCTCTACAAGAAGAATATGAGCTAATTCAGGTCTCTCTTTCATAATTGTTAGCCAGACATCAGTTGAAGCTTTCAATGTGGATTGTGTGAATACATTGAAAGGGATCTGGACAATATTGTGAATCAAAGAAGATGCCTCATAAGACCCGTGAATGATTAGAGCAGCTGATAAATCTAAAAATTCGGCAATTATTCTTTGGTCGATCTTACTATTAGTATCTAAATGAGTATTGATTTTGTTTATATTTGATGTTATTTCTTTAAAAATATCATGTGGTGAAGATGCGATTGCCTTATCAACCAGATACTTTGATCTCCAAGAATGCTGTGATATAAACCCAGCAATGGTATTTGGTTTTTCTCCTCCAATATAATTTAATCTTGACAATTCTTTATCGACTGACAGAATAGATCCCGCCATATCCATTGCAAAAGACACACCATATTCAACATTACTTAGTCTTTCGAATTGGTTTAGGTCAGAAATATAAGACTGCAACAATATCTTAATATCGTGACTGGATCTATTTAAAACATATTTTACCCATTCCTTTGCACATTTGGTTAACTTTGCAAGTGTCAATCTTCTCCACGAAATAGAACTTGGAAATGATACTTTGGTATTAAAGTGTTTCAGATAGAAATCATAATCTGGTTCAAACTTATTTGTTTCACAATCAATTACACCATCAAATAAGGAGGTCATTAAATCCAATAGAGTATACAGTGACTGATGGTGGCATAGGGATGATGGGATCGTCCTAATGAATAACTCGCATGACTTAAAAGCCACATTCTGTAACAATGCATTCTTATGAACTAGCAATAATAACATGTTATTCAATTGTCTTGCAATTTCCTTGGAATTATACCTAGAAGGCTTGCCAGACTGAGAGGCTCTAGTGAATTTATGAATCATACTGACATTTATAGATTCAATATTCTTTTCAATCGACGATGAAACAATGGATGGATCTGAGAAGTACAACAATAATTTGGAACAATCTCCCGCTTCACATCTTATTGTCTCTAACAGTACTGTAGCTGCCAAAAACATGATTTTAGTGTTAGAAGTAGATCTAGGTTGGACAGGTTTTTGCTCTGCATACTTGGAAATTACTTGTTTTTGGTGTTTGATATTAGAGTTTGAGGAACCACGACGTAAAATAGAATTCATTTCTAACGACATCTCCTTTTTGTTGGCAGGGAAGTCAGAGGCTAAAGGAGGAGTATTGAAAGCAATTATTGTCAATTGGGAAATATATTTTTTAACAATTTTGGAATCATAATAAAAACCATGAATTGTCATATTGAACCAGATATTTCTAAACATGTTCGTGAACATTTCATCAGTACTAATATCCAAGGGTGCATTTGGAGGTGAAGGTAACATTTCTGCCAACGGAGTTAGGTATAAACCAATCTGATCGGCAACTGCTGAAAGTTCTTCATCTGTTCTATGTTCCTTATGCTCTACTTCACCACTGGAGATGATAATGTCTAATAAGTCATATAGGTGAAGTTTATACAATTCTGATTCGTAATGATAAGATTTCAATTCCTTAGATATCATAGTTCTGGCATCATTGATATTCTTCAATAAGTCATGTTTCCCATCTTTGATAGCACTACTTGTTGCCAGTTTAAAGAATTTTAACATGAGTGAAAATTCACTTGGGGTAGTGAATGGTGCTAAAATTGCGAGAGAATCTATGATGATCTTGTCCAATTGTTTTGAAACAACATTAACTTTTTGAGTCAAAATTGTAGTAGTTAACGCAGTTATTGACTGATCATTATAATTTGAGGCTATCGTAGTAACAGCAGTAACACAGTTTTTAAAAAGTTTTTCATGGTAACCAACTGATGTAATTGTAGATTGTCCGATATCTGTTTTTGAGGATCCGTTAGCACCTGAAGCTAGATCATAATTGTTAATAAGATCTAACGTGTGAGGGCTGGCAGCTCTTTCTCTTAATTGATCTGTAATTGAATTTAATGTATATTTACGCTCCTTAATCAGTAATTTAGGAGATCCACTATCAGTAACAGACAACATGTTGTTGATAGAATAAATCGTATTAACAATAACATCTTCATTTAATGGATACAGTCCAATAGTAAAAATCTTTGATATATCAGTCACAACATCGTTACTGATGTGATCAGATGCAACTAATAATGGGAACATTCTAAGTAGAGTCAATGAATTTTCTTCAGTGAAAAAATTTAAATAAGAAGCAGAACAAATGATAGATTTTATTAATGGTTCTGTTATGAAATCGGTCAACAAAAACGTTTCCATAAAATCACAGACCAATTTCAAATATTCTTTAAATTCCTTTGAATTTGATTCAAAAACATAAGGAATCAAACACAATAACTCTAGAAAGTATGCCTTAGAATTAAAGGTAAATTTCGCCCTGTCTTCACTCGAAAGATCTAAATTATCCATTCTGGAACAGTTTCTTAACGCAAATTTACAAATGTCTATCAATAATTGCTTATTAGTTTCAATAGCATTTTTGAAATTATCAACCATTTGTTTCTCGGTTGGAGAACAATTATTTACCTCTTGTTTAGAATCATATTCCATTTTTTGGATTTCTAAAACGTGTAAACTCAAGGAGCATGGGTTTAACAAATGATGTCTATTTGATTTATGCAAAACTCTTAAAGCCAAAGAAACTTGAAATCTTGAAATCAATTCTGAAAAGAATGAGGAGCAAATCTCATGGCCTGCATCAAAATATTGGACCATGGTGTCATTGGTGAAATTTGGAGAATTATTTAAAACCTTTTCAACTTCCAGGAAAAAGGCGTCATCATTCAATAAAATAGTGAACTTCTGCCAGACAAATTCACAAACTTCGACAGAAGCACCTTCTGTATCAAAGATCAAAGCATGCATAAATCCAATCAATGAAAACATGCTTGATGGTTTTTTACAATACAACTGTGATACAGATGTTAAATAACCATCAATTAATTTCGTACAATTCTTGATCAATTCTGGGAATTTATTAGTCAAAGATAAGATAAATCTTGTCAATTGGAAAGTTAAGATTTCATTTGGATGTCTCAATTGTTCTTGTTTAAATTTGCTGATTAATACATCAGTAAACCTCTGTCTTGGAGATTCCAAAAAATAACTAGATATGACATCATCTAATAATTTCATCGCCTGCTCAATGGTATGAACAGTAGATTGACTTAATGATATCAACACTTCCCATTCATTTAAATTCAACGGAATAGTATAAAGTTTACTGGTATTTGTAGAATAAAAAAGTGGTAAAGAATGAGTTATTAAATTCAACGAGTCATTATCAGTAGCATTCCCCTTCGAGCAAGAATACTTGACATTATCCAAAGATTCTTGAGCTAACTTTGCAAGAGCTTTTGCCCTCAAAGACACTAATAGATTGCCCTTCTTATTATAACGCATCTTGCTAAAACAACCTTACCTAAAAGAAAATAAAAATTTCCTAAAAGTCAAAAAAATAGCCAATTTCAACAAAATAACACTCTAAAAATACTAGATCTTAAATTTAACCACTCTAAAACAATAAGCCGATACTTTATTCACCTTCAAACCTTATACCATATGTATGTTTATACAGATTGAACTTAAATATCGTTACATATTCATATAAGTAATTTCGCATTCGTATTCGAATTCGAATTCGAATTCTAAATTCTCGCTATTTCCTTTAAAGTTTCGGGTTTTATAATTGGAAGCTTAAATTTTGATATCAAAAACTTTCGAACAAATTTAAATTAAAGGTTTATTCACTTACTTTGAATAGGAAAAGTTAAGTGTAAAAATTGTTGGTAAAGATCTTATATATAGCAATCAGATAGGATCTGGTGTATATGTGTGTCACTTTTATATTTTTAGAGTTGTAATGGTATGCATTTAGTTATTGGGCGTTAAAATTCGAATCCCGAATGACGACGTCTTTCATTCCATATCTTATTAAAATAAGTTAATTAATGATTTTTTTTTATTTTTACTGACAAATGGGTTAATAAAATCATATCATTTCATTGTTATGTGCAGTGTTGATTTTTTGATTTCAATTGATATGTTTTTTTAAAAATTAGTTAAAACTTCGTGAATTACAAAAGAAAAAACAGCTTGAGCTCTCCTCCAGTAAGGATAATTCTTTGTCTACTGGTAGTCAAGATAATAGAAATCAATTAACGGCTGCTAGATTAAGATTACAAAATGATTTAAATAATTTAGAGTTACCTCCAGGGGTAAATTTAAGTATTTTATCTGTTTTATCAGATTTAAAAGAGTCTCCACATTTGACTCTTCTTATATCACCTGATGAAGGCTACTATAAAAGTGGGAAGTTTAAATTTGATTTAAAATTCAATGAAAACTATCCAATAGAACCACCAATTGTATTATGTATGAATAAAATTTTTCATCCTAACATAGATCTAGATGGAAAAATTTGTCTAAACATTCTAAGAGAAGATTGGTCCCCTGCATTGGATTTAAATAGTATTATCATTGGATTATTATACCTGTTTCTTGAGTGCAATGCCAAGGATCCGTTAAATAAAGAAGCAGCCAACATATTGCACTCTGATGAAGATATGTTTAGAAAGTATGTTAGAGATTCTATGGCAGGCAAGAAATTATTTAATATCCAATACGATAATGTTTTATAAATTATTGATAGAATTGATAAATATAACTTATGTGTAACGATTAACTAATACAATTTAATGACATTATATTATACATAATGGTCATTTTTAGTCTGCCTTTCACCACAATTTATCATCGACAGGATAATCAATACTTGCTTGTTATGAAATATATTCAAATAAAATATTAAGTAGATTGATTAATAAATATAAGGTATTAAATTATAAAAATTATAAAGCACCCTAACCAGAGGATGGCTTGATTATGCATAATTGTTCTTCACAGTTGTCTAACTAAACCAAAGGTAAACTGTTTTATTTTATTTTATTTTATTTCACTTGATCAATCAAATAATCTTGACGAAGGAATTTTTCTGCCAAACTTCAGAATTTTAGAACCTTTTAACTCAGTTCCTGACTTGAGATCAAATCTACTAGATCTTATATTATTGTGATGTGAGTTTGGTGCCTCTCTTGCTTCAATTGCTAACGATAATTCATATTGTTTTTCAATATGAGGAACCCCTACCAGAGAATGTTCAATGTAATTTTGAATTTCTTCATTTGGTTTTAAATTATAATGTATGACTTTGAATGACATGATATCCCTTAAAATGTCTGCAATTCTAGTTCTTTTATTAAAGTTGATTATATGACTAGAGCCTTTTATGAAATCAGGATTACCATCGGAGGTGAAAGTCAAATCAGATAAAAATACACCGAAAAATGGAACGCATGGTACATCCTTTACTGATTCAACTAACTGTCTGTACTTGATAAAGTTCTTAGTGGAATCCATTAATGTATTTAAATTCTTCAAAATATCGTTATACTCTTTAGGAATTAATTGCCATGTCTTCTTCAATCTATAAACTGGTGATGAGTAAAGAGCAGATATAATAGCAGTCATTACTGAGAAGTTATTCAATAGTCTACAATGATTTGCAACACTAATAAAATATTGTACTCTCTTCGCACGCTTTTTGACATCTTGAGTGATAACAATTGAGTGAGACACATAATTAGTGAACTGATTAGCCGAAGAAATAAAATTCGAGATATTTTCGGAACCACCAAGGTCACAATACTTTGAACGCCAAATCCTATCTAAACAATCAAAGGTTGAAATTTTCATGAACAACTGTTGCTCTAATATTGTGAGTTGCGTTGCATACACGTAAGCATCAATATCAAGAAGTTTCAATTTCTTTGATCGGAATAAATTAGATTGGAATGGCCCTGAGTCGCTGCTGTTCGAAGAACATTGAGTATTCGAAGTTATAGTTTTCTTCCTATCTACAACTTCCTCATCAAGGCCAGGTATTTTGTCAAACTGATTAACACCATCCGAAGAATTCGAAATAATTTTTTCCTTTATGATTTGTAAGAGTTCTGGAGCACCTTGAATATTTTCCGTTACTGCAAAACTTGCAAAATTTAAGATAACATCTAAACCTGGTTCATAATACGAAGGTGTCCAATATTCTGAGAAGAATGTTCTTAATATATTTACCACGTTAAATTTAATGGGTTGCAACTTCCTTGAAATCCAATTGTTATACTCTTCGTAGCTTAAACCTTCTGGTGGAGACAAATTATAACGATAAATTAACGAATAGATGAAGTCTAAAGTTGTGAACATACTCCTGAAGGTTAAGAGCATAGTTATATTAAATGTCACATCAACATTATTATGATCAGTCAAATGTTCTATCAACGCCTCTTTAGTCCCACCTTTAATTTGACCCTTTGAATCATACAAAAGTTCTTGCTCATGACTGGAACGTAGATACCATGGTGTGTCATCGTATGAGGACGTAGAATTTAAGGGTTCTAAATTTGCCACCTTATTATTAAATCTAGTGTTAGTTCGACTAGCAATGGACTTCATAGATGAATTAGAATCTGATTCGGTATCTGAATCCACATCTCTTCCCTTATTTAATAACCCGGATATTAATTTAATATCCTCATCGTAATCTTTATTGCTATTCCCAAATCTAATATTAGCTGTATCGGTAGAATTATTCATGTATTCTTGATCATTCTTTAACAGCTCAACAATCAAATCGTTCTTCATCATTCTTGCTGAATAATTTAGAAGATTTTCCCTCTCTTCTATTAATTGTTCTACAATATTACAACAAAGTGTAGTCACCTCATAATATTTTGCAAATGTTTCTTTTACTGCAGCAGATGTGTCGAAGAACTCAATTCCATTAGTTTCAACATCTTGAGAGATTAATAATCTAAATAATTCCATAGAATATCTTGTCATTCTCCTGTCCAATTGCTTATTTGAATCGTGAAATAAGACCTGGTCTTTCATCGATAATTGGTTTCTAGATGGCTCAAAAGATCCAGTACCTGGTTCTGGTTTCATAGTTGCAAAAATAAAAGGGTCCTCATCTAAACTATTTTGTTGGGTGGATATAATCAATTGAAGAAAAGCATTATGTAAAAGTTGCTTGATGTCAAAAAATTCGGTTAACATAGAGGAAATAGATGAAAGACTATGTTTTAAAAACTCTTCTGTCTCGATGTCAAATCTAGTTGTTGGATTTTTGATTAATTTTTTCAAGTTGATGAAGATTGATAAATCTAAATTCTCCATAATATCGATGACGGTTAAGTTTGAACTTATTTCCTCATAAGTGATTGAAGTAATCTCTAAATTTCTTTTCTTGTTTGATTGTGTTTTTAATGCTTCAAATTTATCTTCGTCTTCACTCTCAAAATACTTTTGATAAACATTGTTAGAATAATCTTTGATCAATTGTAAAGTATCGTTATTTAAAGTATAATGAAATGGTTTGCTATTTTGTTTGTTCTTCTGACTTTTCTTTGTTCCAGATGTTGTTGCACTTGTCGCACTTGGCTGGTTAAAAGTAGTGTTGGTTGTTGATATAGAATTTGAGTGCGTTGCCTTTTTTGAAAGGGGATTATATGATGAACTCTGATTTGAGGACTGATTTCTCATACGTTGGGTTGATATAGAAGTAGAAAAGGTTCTCGGGTTACCTGTATTTGAACCAAATACAGTTGTTGAGCCATTGGAAGATACGAATGAATCAACATTCGACAATTTAGAATTTTGGGAAATTGCATTCAATACTAATGAAGGTGTCAATGAAGATGTTAGAGAAGAAGTTTTGTTTATAACTTTTTCAAAATTGTAATTGATAATTGGATTATAGAATGGATTTTTCCAAGAACCACCATTAAATGAACCTTTAACGAATCTCGGAACAATCTGGGGTAGCATTTGATTATTATCATTCCAATCTACATTTGCTTGATATATTAAATGATATAACATAGTGATGTTTCTGTCAAATTTGTTAAATTCTAGGTCAATTAATTCAAATATAGTCAAGGTTGATGGATTCTGGGTATTATTAAAATTAGCCAAATCTACACCACTACTCAAACTATTCTTCTTAGACGAAAAAACCGAAGACCTTGGTAAGTCATTAATATATGTGATAGTATCGTTTGTACTTGTACTTATATTTCTTGTTTGATTTGATTGATTTAAACTTTTCCAACTATCAAACTCGATTGAATCGAAATATATAGTTGAATTTATTGAAATAAAAGATAATGAATTGATAATTTTCTTCAATAATTTTTTGATCTTTTTCTGTAATGGGGTATTATTTTCATCTTCAAAGTTTCTCATATAATTTGATAAATGGCATGCAATATTTGTATAAGTTGTAAAAGTTGAAGTCAATGAAAAATGATCTAAGAATTTGCCTCTATTATTTGAGAAGAATGCCTCATGCGTTAATGATGAATGATATAATGTTAAATCTCTTAATTCTGACCATAGTCTGATGTCGTTAGAATGGGTGTAGAAAATATCATTGGGATTTGATATTAGTATATTTTTAATATTATCATTTATAAAATTTCCTTCATCCTTGTCTGGAGGATTCAAGTTTGTTACCGTTGCATTATTTGAAATATCATTATTATTTTTATTGATTGTAGAATTTGAAGAATTTTCGATTTGGTTATTACTACTGTTGTTGTTGATATTGTTGACATCAAATTTGTTATTAATATTATTAGAATTTGGTGGTAATTTTTCTTGATGTATTCCATACGTTGAATTTGATCTTAATTTTGGGTGCAAATGCATTTCCGATTTACTATTTGTATTATTTCTTTTAAAGAATGAATTCGAGAACAAAGGTAACTGCGAACAATAAACGTTTAAATCATTATTATAATAATAAATTTTTTTACCATCATTTGATAGTACAGGAGACCACATTGGAATAGTTGAGAATTCATTTGTTATTAAACTATTAGTTAATAGCATTTCAACTTCTTGCAAGGATAATATGGTAATATTTTTATCATCAGGGTTTATAAAAACTGATTTACTGGGTATAACTGAACCTCTCCTTGCTGAAATGTTGTTGTTAATAGTATCGAATTGCAAATCTTTATCCTTTTGATCGTCGTCTATACTGAAGTTATTATAAGATAAAGTATCATTCGGATCATTAAAATCATCTTGAATGAAGGAAGTCGTTGGAGACATTGATGCAGAGGATCTTCTTGAATTTGGATCATTTTGGTCATTTGCATTTAAATAGCAACTACTGCTTGAGTTACTGTTTTCATCACTGCCACTATTATTTGAAATATTATCGAAATTTAAATTTAATAAAGTGTTTAACGATATTGAATGTTTTCTTTTCTGTTTTAGATGGTATTTATATTTAGAAGTTTTAGTGAAATTATTTGGGAACCAACCTCTTTTAATAGATTTGCTTGATTTCAGAATGATACCATCCCACCAGCCATTACTGTTTTTATTTAATACGTAGATGATATCACCTTGTTTAAACTTCAATAAATTGCTGTTATTGCTATTGGGAGTAGTAGCGCTATCTGACAGCGTACTGCTGTCGTGTATTGCCACGACCACGTCTATTAAACGTACGGTAGTGGTAGGATAAGTAGACATGATCATAATATGTAATGTATGAGCTGTTTGTGGATTGTGTATTTGTATATTGATCTGGTATATGCGTATGTGGATGCGTATGTGGATGTGGATGTGGATGTGGATGTGGATGTGGATGTGGATGTGGATGTGGATGTGGATGTGGATGTGGATGTGGATGTGGATGTGGATGTGGATGTGGATGTGTATGTGTGTATGGATATGTTAATATATACTGATATTGTAGTAGTGTCTAGTATAGTAAAATACTAACACTTTAATCGACGAAAAAGACGTGAAATGATAGTTATATAACACAGATACTCCAAAATATACGTATGTATGTGTATACACATATATATATATATGGATGAACGAGTGTGTTAGAGAGTATGGGGGGGAGTTGGTTGTGGGACAAGCACAGTATCCTTATAAGTAGTAATAGATATAGATATAGATATAGATATATACCTATATATATATAGGTGTGTATATATATATATATAGATATATATATATATAAATATATAGATAGATAGATAGACTAGTTCGATATTAAAACTAGATTATTACTTACATAGGCATATTAAATTAAGTTTTGAATGAATTTTAATTTAAAGTTTCGAGATTTCGATATTTCTAAAATTCGAAAAGGTTTAGATAATTTTCGTCTTTCTTGTTTCGAATCGAGCCAGAGAAAGAGAAGCAGAGATATTGCCAGCCAGGTACATTATTATTATTATTATTATTACACACTGCAGACGGACACTGCTACAAACACTGCTACATATACATATGCATATACAGATACTGTTGTGTTTTTTCTGCTTTCCTACGTACAAAACGCGGACGAGGACGAGGACGAGGACGAGCGAAGGAAGAAGAAAAAAAACACAAAAAGAAAAAGAGAGCAAAGACAAAAAGCAAAGAGAGAGAAGGAGAGAGGGGAGATGCCCAGTGCGGTGAGTATAGATATCCCACAGGCGATGTAGTGTTGTACGACATTTCCGTATATAAGGATATGATGACATTTTTTCCTTTTTTGTCGTTGTATGTGACAGAATGCTTTTTCCAGGAGAGGAAATCGCCACAGTAGACAAAACAAACAGATACAACGCGAGAGACATACAGAGAGAGAGAGAGGGGAAGAGAGGGTATGTATGTATGTATGTATGATGTATACACATATATAGTGGAAAGGGGAGGGTAACGGAGCGCGCAAGTGGGTGGTCTCCCAGAATTGGTGTTGGAGTATATCTTTACGGAGAGACAAAGACGGACAACCTAGACTTTTGTAACGGCTCTAACTGCCATTTGCTGGATTTGTACAATGCAAAACATACAAAACACTCTTTGTGCGTTATATCCTGCAGTGGCGGTAACGCTAGGCATTATACTACTGTCATGGTACTGCGTCCGGCGCTAGCTACTCTAGTTTCTCCGAGCACACTGACACTCAGACAATCCACTGGAGCGTCCCTTCTTGTCATTCTCTCAACTTTCTCTGTCTTGCGGCTGTCTTTGAGCGCATGCTTTTTCCCTCTCTGTCTGCCCCCCCTCTCCCCAACTCCCTCTCTCCTTTCTTTTTTCATTTTCTTATTTCTTCTTCTTCTTCTTCTTCTTCTTCTGCTCTCTTTTCTCACCCACCATACTGCATCCGTGCACCGCGCAATATACCCCATTCCCACCGTCTCTTCTTGCCTTCCTTCATCCCTACTGCCGCTACCCGGCCCCCTTCTCCCTACCCTCCCTCCCCCTCTCTCTCTCCCTCTCTCTCACACACACAGTGTCGTCATCGTCAGCATATAAGCACACTGCGCTAATTCAAAGTACTAAGACTGCTGGAACCAGATTTAGCCGCCAATTTACACCATTCATTACACTACTACATCCATATATCTGTATATGTACATATTTATAACCAGCTTCGTATAGAAGTATCTCATTCATTCATACATACAAACATACACACACACGCCCTCAGAGGCAATTCAACTGCGAGTCAAGATAGTGAG